GCTCCTCACGTCCAGCCCGTAGCCAGGCGCTATACCGACTGCGCTCTCCCGGCCCCTCACGTCCAGCCCGTAGCCAGTCGCTATACTGACTGCGCTATCCCGGCTCCTCACGACCAGCCCGTAGCCAGGCGCTATACCGACTGCGCTCTCCCGGCTCTTAGCTAACTTCTATAATTGTAATTGCATTTAGCCTCATTATATACACTGACGGCAAGATTTAATCATCAAGCTCCCCAGAAATTCGGTCGGTCGGGTGAATTGCTGCTGTCCTCGCCAGCACAGTCATTCTTGTTTACGAGTCCCGTGGGACTTACGGCCTTATTTTACTGTGTCACGACTCCTCACCCCAGAACTTCTTGTTACAGACTCTGTATTAATGTAAAAATCCATGCTACTGAGCTTATTAAGGTCCTGAAAATCCTTATCCTTAAACTGTCCAGCCAGGCTAGAAGGGTCAGTCAGTATCGGCACTCACCACAAAGCAACTACAACAAAACCTGTTAAGAAACTTACCTGTTTCGCAGTGGTTTCCACCCCTCCCCAGGGGGCACTGACAGCGCTGCTGGCCCGGCCGGCTCGGGTCCGCAGTCTCGAAGGCGTCGAATGTACAGGAGCCGCCGACACCACAGTCCAGAAGACATGGCGTCGTGTCCGCCGCACGGAGACTCTCTGTGGTATGTCCATCACTCGTCGTGCTGCCAGGTACTTTCTGCTCCAGGTTCGGACTCTGGGTCGTGAGGAACTGCACCTTCTTCTCTACCTCGTCTGCCTTGGGAGAGAACAGGACACTGTTCCCTCTGACATCGCCAGAGGTGTCCAGTTCGGCCGAGAAGGACGCATCCTTCTGGTACAGTATGTCTTCCTCCTCTTCAACCATCGTCTCCATTGTCGTGTTCATTTCTAGAAAAGAGAAAAATGGCTGCTGGAGCGGTCACAAGATTGTACAGAGGGGTAGGATGACTGTTTGTGCTCGGAAGCAGGATGGGCTTGTTTTGGAGTGACCAGTGGCCGTGGGGACTCGTGAGAACTGCATCGTACATTGCAAAGAACGTTCCAGCGTTTGCTATAAGACGTTGTGAAATATTCCGTACGAGGGGAACTGAGAATTGCAAACCGAATTCACCAACAAAGTCAAAATTTTACTGTCCGTAATTAATTTCCTGAACATGATCCAATCTTTATTACTGGGAAACAATGCTAAGAAATAGAAACGAGGATTCTCATCAGAATAGGAGTATTATAAAGCACGATTATTATTATTCAGTTGTCTTCACTGCAAGAAGGAAGGTTGCCCAAGCGGTGGTAGTGCCTTGAAATACGCCACGACCAATGCTTTCCGTATCCTATTTAGGATATTACATAATGAAGCTCGTAATTTCTACAGACCAAGTATCATGGGGCATACGATGGGCTGGATATGCAGCTAGGAAGGGGTCGGGAGAAGTATCACGTACGAAATTTTGCCCAGGAGACACTTTGAATATAACCATTTGAAATCCGAGAAACAGATGGGAAGATAATGTTAAGATATGCTCTAAACACTATAACGCGTGGTCTGCATGGGACGAGACAAACGATGGGCTTAGGCATAGGGGCTTTGAACCGTCGGATGCTGTTACCCAAGGTTTAGCTAATGGGAGAGACACGAATCTTCCTAGGAGCGAGAAGTTCTTTCCTTTGATACTTCTGCGATATTTTGTATACTTTCTCATATCCCCGTTGGAGTTGTGGCTCTCATGACGGTATATACGAACAATGTGGTCTTCTGTGTTCTAATGTCGTGTAGCTCGGAGACAGCCCCAAGTTTCGGAGGAACGTATCGCCTCCATCATCAGGGCGGAAGGGTAAACCTTCAGCTTCTGTTGGTTTATTGCTTTGCCTACTATTCGGTCTCGAAAATGGAAGCGATATTTTCTTCTGAAACATTGGGCTCTCTTCGAATTGCACGTCATTACGACCCACAAGATCGTGTATCATGCCTCACTATTTAAATAACCCTGAGTTTCGATAATCTAAAAGGATATTTATAAGTACATGAAAATCTTAACATAACATAATTGCATACATCAATTTCAGGATGACTCCAATATACTCGTAAGTTATTTCAACATAACCAAACGCTTTATGTAGGAGCAGAGTCAATCTGTGTGTAAAACGGTACAAATTAGTCTATAAATCATTTTACAGTATGCACGACATTTTGTAACATTGATCCGTAACGGTTACAGTTCAGTATTTTATGACTTCACATATCTGTCGCCTGATGATGGCTCCGTGAGAGTCGAAACATTCTGCGTAGCAGGACCGTAAGTTAAACTCAGATGATACAAAAGTGGAAGTGAGTTGTTTCAATGTTGTGATGAAGGATATAACCCTCCTTTATCTGACAATCCCAACATCAGGAGAAGACAAATGAAGCCAATCACAGTGGCCACAATCTTGGACTTCTCCAAGACTGGAATTTCGTCCGAGGCATGGAACATGTCCTCCTTCTCATTTCTCAGAGTCTGTGTCTTGTTCTGAGTCGGTAAGGACTTTGCGATGGGCTGAGTGCACGTTCAGAAAGCGCTACAGATGTCCAAATGAATCATACTGTCAGAGTTAATTTTGAATCGGAAGAAACAGAAATCCTACGCCGTGAAAGATAAAGAAGAAACAAAAGTACAATTCTTGACATTCTTCTCATAAAAATTTCTCAAACTCTTCTTACTCCCTCTCGCTCAGGTCTGAACATTCTCATTAGCACACCCTCCGCCTATCTATATTGAAGATTCGCCGCTAAAAACAATAAATTTAACAAACTAATTGTTGGAATCCTGTTTCATTTTCCTGAAGTTCGGGTTTCGAATTTCAGCACGAAGGCCGACTCTTCTGAGTTACTTTCATTTTCCTACATCCCAATACCGTTCTCTCACTCTTCACTTCGGATTCAAGTGAAGTCAACAGCGATGCTCACTTTTAACTTGCTGAAGTGGGCTGTACAGTGTTACAAATCACATTAAACTCACTTGCCAATTCAACGTGTGCAATTTCGACTGTTCCAGCCTTTCTATCCCTTTCTTACAAAGTCTGATACAAATTTCTAGTCTACTCGACCGATTTTGATGGTACACTGAGTTCCAATCTCATCACGTGCTCTTCTAAAAGAAGGAGAAAATTGAAAAGGAAGGCAGAACACAAAATCCCATTTCTCACATGTTCTTTAACAGCCAAACATAGACGTGTTACGCTGGGTTCTATCTGTTTTCAATCCGTTATCGGTTTTCTTACAAACAATCTTGTTTTATCCCCAATACGCGTTTTCGAGAACCGCTTAGTGTTCATACCTTTAGAATTCTACTCACATAGAAACAAGACGGGGAATAAGCAATAACTTAGCAGACTAACATGAATAAGCACATAATAATCTTGCTTGGTGAGAAATGTGTTCTTGCAAACAACCTCGGGAAGAAGCAAATAAATCTGGTATTTAAAGACACGCAAGAAACACATACACAAACCTGCCAAGTTCATAACAAGCTGTCTTACTCAATAAAATCAAGGTGAAGCTGTCCCTGTAACGGACCGTGAAGGCCTATGGGGGTGTGAGAGGTCGAGGTTCCCACATTTTCAATACAATCGGCTCACAGATGGCAGTAAGGTTGTCAGCCTTACGCGTCGGCCGCCCTTTATTCCCCTCCCCGCAAAGAAGATTCCTGGTACTCATTTCTGTTAGAGGCTGAGTCGACCCCAGGGCCATAGCGCGGCTGGAATGATTACGCTAACTAAACAACTAAAAACTAATCGGGAATTGAACCCGCGACCTTCCGGCTTGTAACATAGTGCCTCAACCAACTACGCTACCGCGTGCCTCCTCTTACTGAATAACCAACTAAATTAACAAAAACTTAGCCGAACTTATTTCCACCATTGTTCAGGGTAGTTTTACGTAGTCAGTCAAGAACTTCCCTGATGTTATGAAATTCGAACGTTCATCACCGTGTGAACAAATGCCCAGCACTGGAGCGTATCCTCAGCCAGCAAAATAAAGTTAGTAATTTAAAACGAAAGCTTCCATAATCAACTCTAACAGTGTCACACCAGTGCTTATGTCTCGTGTATACACTTCTCATTTCCCCGTTCGTGACGCAAGTTGCTCGCTATGTACAGCTCTCCAGTCCTCTCCTGCCTAATCCCTTCATGTCCGAATGTTGCAAATACGCGTTAATCTCGTACAATAATACACATCACATTTCCTGCTCTCATTAAACAGGCAACAATCATAGTTTTGCATTTTTAATTTGGGTTCTCAGACAGGATGGGAACGATACTGATTGTGAAGCACTTCCTCGACTTCACTCTGAATATCATCACGGGTTTGTTGCTGTAGCACTTTAAATATGTTACATTTTCAAAGGATTTGTTGTTGTTATTATTACACAGGTCTGCAAAAATATTTTTTTTTCAGCTGCATGAAATATTTTTGGAAAACTTTGTTTTCTAGGATGCTGAATCCAAAAATGACCTCAATTTTCCCCTATCACCTACGGTTTTTGGAAAAATAATAGGGGTTTACAATAAAAAATCATAACGGCGATGAAAAAATCACTAATTTTATTACATTGAACTAAACATACACGTATTATTTCTCATAATTAAACAAATAATTTTTTCATGATATATTTAACATTCCGTGTTCAGTCTTTTTGCCTGTGAAACCTTTTCTTCTTCTCTTTGATGCTTCTCCGAACACGCTTTCGCTTTCCATTTTCCGTTTCCCGCTTGATCATCCAGCAGTAGTCAGCTAGCATATTCGCATTCCATCTTCCTTGGTAGCGTCTTTCGATATCACGGACATCCTGATGAAATCGTTCACCCTGCTCTTCACTATAGGCTCCCAAGTTTTCGGGAAAATAGTCGACATGGGAGTGTAAGAAATGAACTTATAAGCTCATCTTGCAGCCTGGAGCTTTATATGCAGCCAACATGCGTTGTACATTGGTTTTGTAGAGAGGGTCTTTAGTGTTCCCCAAAAACTTGTGCACTACGTCTCTGAAGGAGTCCCATGCTTATTTTTCTCCCATGTCCCTCTTTGGAGAAAAACTGAGCAAATTCCTTCTCTTGGTGCCTGTACCACGAGAATG